TGTGGCAGAGGCCTGCGCACCGCGAGCACGTGCGCACACAGCACAGACTCCTGCCTACGCACTCGTTCACACACTCCTCTGAAACACATCCGTGCACAGCGGACCATGTGTGTGCCAGCCCTCATGCAGACCCTCAACATGTGCACGCAACGTCCACACCAAACACGCATGCATACAGCTCCCACTGTGCCCAGCACATGCACACACAGCCGACTACTGCCTGTGTGCTCTCCCAGTGCACACGTGTGTGGCACATCAATCAAATATGTACCCAGGACAAACAACCTGTGCACATACAACATGCACACAGAACATGTGCACATGGGACCCCAAACTCCTCTGAACACATATCCATATGTGTGCAGACGGGCCACAAAGCCAGGGTGCTGTGAATTTGCTGCACCCAACATGCATTTGACTCACTTGCTCCTCGGCCAACTCCATGAGATAGATACAGTGATCATTCCCGTTTTAGATGGGAAACTGAGGCAGAGAGCACTTAAGGAACTTGCCTAGGAACAGAGAGCAGAGACTGAGCAGGGTAAGAGCTCTACCAGCATTTCTCTATTGACTTAGTTTGAAGGGGGGGGGGCCGGTTGGGGGGGGTGAAACTGATAGAAACAAATGGGTTTGAGGTTCATCTAGCTGAGAACGGCAGGACCTGCTGATTAGATATTGGGGGGCTGAAGAGAGAGGTGTCATAAAGGAGCCCCACCCCTGCTTCTGGCTTGGTGGGTGCATGCTGGGGCAATGCTAAGATGAGAATGAAGCGGAGGAGCAGGATGAAGAGCTGCCACTGAGCTGGTTAAAGTTACGGAGGGGCTGTGGGCACCTGAGGGGACAGAAGGACAGTCAGTCTGGCAGCAGGGAACAGGCTGGGCAGAAATAGCTTTGAGATGGGGGTGGGAGGGAGCCCTGCCTTGAGGAGGAAGGGGGTGCCAGGGATGCTCTGAATAAATAAGATGCCAGAGGGAGGAGGAGGCCTGCCATGGGGTCGTGGGGTTAGTCTTGGAATGTCAGAGCTCCACGGCCCTCGGGGATCATCTGCCTATCCAACCCCCTTCCTCAGCCCCATTGTACAGATGGGGAAACTGAGCCTGAGAGCAGAACAGCAACAGGTCCCAGTGTTCTGACTGGGCTCAGGTGTCCAGTGGGGAGCCGAAGCTCACCTGACGGGGTAGCCCTTGCCTCCAGCCCTGCCTCAGATGTGAGTCTGGTGGCTCAAGGCCCCAGGGCTCAGATGACAGCGGCTGCCCCTTCCTTCCACACAGGATCCCCCCCTGCTCTGCTATACACAGACCTTTATATCAAAGTCACGTTTCTTGCACCATCCCAGCCAAGCGGGGATCGGAGACGTGTCAGAGGAGTGGCTTGTGAAGATGCTGGCAGAAACGGGATAGACTCGGTCTCCTGACCAGCAGGCTAGTCCTCTCTCCCCCACGCCAGGGGCACTTCACAGCCTCTGGGACAAACTTCAGGGGACAGATCCCTGGCTGGAAGTAAGGGGACGTGGGTTCTAGTCTCTGCTCTGTCACCCACCTGTAGTGTGGACCTGCCCCTCTCTGGGCCTCAGTTTCCCCATCTGTACATGGGATGGGCAGGGCTGTCCTGGGAGCACTTCTCAGGACCCTGCTCTAGAAGGCAGCTGTGCTGAGCTGGAATGCTGGGTTGGGGTGGGGGTGGGGTGCTGGGGAGGGGCCCTAGCCAGGATGTCATGACTCAGCTCCGAGAAGGCAGCCAGCTCCAGGCCTGGGAGTGTGTGGGGGCAAGAGGCATCTGGAGCCAGAGATGGAGTCCTCCCGCCAGCAGTTGGGAGAGTGCGAGAGTGATGGCGACACAGGCTGGACACGGCAGCGTGCGGCCCATGTGGCTTTACCCGGAGTGGACTGAGATGTAGGTGTGAGCCTGCAGCATGGGAGCCAGGCAGGAGAGCAGGGTCGGTGACAGGTGGGAGGTAGAAACCTGGGAAGGGGCTGAGGCTGTGGGGCTCCCACCTGCCCGCCTCAATCCGATGCCCCACTTCTGTCTGTTAGGGAAGGCTCCGCATTCCACCCTTACACATGAATCTCCCCACAGGCCCCAGGATCACACTGAAGCCAGAGAGGGAGAGCAATGTGGCCCGGTCACACAGTGATGCAGCTCGGCCACCCAGGCCTGACCTGCCCGCTGCGGCTGGGCCAGAGGCCCTGCCAGGTACCTGCCAGGTCCCCCAAACAAAGTGGCAGAAATTGGTAAGTTGGAGCCTGGCACGGACTCTAGCTGTCCTGGAAGTCCAAGTGGGTATAAGGACAGTGCCAGTTTCGTGGACCATCATTCTGACCCCCTACCCCTACCCCCTCCAGCATAAGCGCGGTGGCCTCTGGCTGCCCCACTGCACCCCTCTCCTCACCTCCAGTTCATCCCCTCCCACCTCTTCTCACCTCTCAGCCTTTCTGAAACACCCTCTGGCCATGCCCTTCCCTGGCCCTCCTCTGGCGCTCCGTCACCCCCAGGTGCAGTTGGCCCCCTTACTCGCAGTTTTGCTTGCCGCGGCTTGTTACCCACAGTCTGAAAATATTCAATGAAAAAGTCCAGAAATAAGCAATTCCCAAGTTTTAAATCGCACACCGTTCTGAGTAACACGATGAAATCCTGCACCTCCCCCCTCCATCCCACTCAGGACGTGAATCATCGCTTTGTCCAGCGTATCCACACTGGACGTGCTCCCTGCCCACTAGTCACTTAGGAGCTGCCTCCGTTATCCTCAGATCAGTTATCAGAGAGAGACCACAGTCACATGGCTTGCATTACAGTGTATTATTACAATTGTTCTACTTTACTGTTAGTTATTGTTGTTACTCTCTCACTGTGCCTAATTGATAAATTACCTTTTCATAGGTACACATGTACAGGGAAAAACAGCATAGAGAGGGTTCGGTACTATCTGGGGTCTCAGGCATCCACTTGAGGGCTTGGAATGCATCCCCCGTGGGTAAGGGGGGACCACTGTTAGAGGCCGGCTTCTTAGCCCAGCCTTTAGGAACCTTCACGCCCTGGCCCTGCAGACAGCTCATCATGACTGAGGGAGGGAGGTTGCTGCCCTCCCAGCTCCCCAGGGCCCATGTGAGGCCCCCACACTTGTCACTCACTCCGTGCTCCTCTCCCCGGGAGGCCTCCCCAGGGAGACAATGGAAAAAAATGACCTATTTTCTGGAAGTTCAGAATAAAATGAAACATCTGTCTGGATCGGAGCCAGGCTGATAAAGAACGGACTGATCCCCCCGGCCTGAGCCCCCTCCTCCTGCTGCACACCCCCTCAACTGCTAGAG